CTAACTATCAAAAAAGTATAAATCTGAATAAATCTTAACCTTTATGATAGACGCCACAGCATGTCACATGATTTTAATCAAAATATCTCTGTAGCTTGCAAACACAAGGATAGGGCCTGCTTCTAAATTCCAATACTTCATCTTCTTTACCACTCTATGTACTTAATAACTACTAAGTAGATTCACGCCAGGCTATACGTGAAGGTACTGTAACTCAAAATGATGATCTTCACAATCATAGAGGGTTTGCTTGGCAACCTGTTTTCCAAAATCCTCCTGATTGGTATCGTATACTACCTCATCAAGAAGAACGAAGACCCTCGGTTGATGTTCATCGTCCTAGGGATCGTTTTTCTGTCCATGTTGTAAGAAATCAAAGAACTATTTAAGATATGAAGGTACCTTGAGAACTTGTGACAAAGTTATGCCGCCAATTCGATAGAACTAAATTCAATAAAATACAACAAAAACATTTAAATTTTTTTTAACTTTTAATAATATCATCACTCGAATTCTAGTAATGATGTAGTTAGTTTTTACCTGCTTAAGAAAAACGACACGAGGTTTATGCGTTTGGACTACCCGCTGAAAATTGATTCTTTAAGCGAATAGCTGGATAGATTTTTAAGTCGGTTTAAATTATTCGGTGACATCCATAAGTGTTTTGAATTTGAGCAAAAAAAAAAAACTGACCCGTGATTGAATAAAATTTGTTTAATCAATTTGCTTTAAGGCATATAACGATTTTTTAAGCAAATGGCAGGGTCTGTTTTTATATTTCATGTCTTAAATAAATAATTTTAGATGTATTTACCTTTTTCGGATAAATATATATGTATGTTTTTCTATCTTGGACGAATAAAAAAAATGTTAGTTTATCATCTTTCATTTTATTCATCTAACAGATTTTGAGGGTTCATACGGTGTCACTGGGTATGAGTTTAAAACTTTGAAATGGCCATTGTATTATTCAAATATATATTCAGGACATTTTTTAAAAATAACTATTCAGCACTCTTCAATGTTTTGGAGTTAATGAGAAGGTTATGTTGGTTTACTTTATGTACAGCTTGGTAGCGCTAGTACTGTTGAACCTTATAACATTAAAGCATCTGTTTTTAGTATGAGATTATTTACGTGGTCCGTTATATTGCTAAAAAAAAAATAAAAAATCATTAAGTAACATATCATAACCTCACATAAATGTAAGAACTTTGATGAATTTTTCCTTTGTAAAGTTAAAAATAATTGTTAAAAAAAAATACAGTTAGTGTAGCTATGTGTGATAAATAAAAGGTTGTGGGTAGTTTTCATGAACTTTAGGTAATTTTGTTTGGATAAAGAAACTCGAAATTCACAAAAAAAAATATTTGAAAGTTGCATCAAAAATGCTCTTCGAGACTATTTTCAATAAATCCGTGATATTTCTGTTGAATCATCAGCGAATTCACTGATGGATTGAAGGGAAAAAGACCCTCAAAATAGAAAAAAAAAAGTTTCCATTTGTAAATATGCACCAATGTGAATGATGTGAGCTAAATACTTTAGCAAGTCTATCAACTACTTCCTGCAGTGCTTGATGCAACGCTCTGATGAAGACCTGCAAGGTGGGTCGAAACGTTAGCGAAACAATTAAAAATACTATTTTTTAAAAATTTATTATTTATTTGACCGCACCCTCCGACCAATTCCTCTTATTATATCATAGTCAACCATCTCTACTTTATTATCAATACTTTAACAATTACAAGACGTACTGTTTTAAATTATAACGTGTATAAATCTACTAAATGTAAGCCTGTGTGAAGAAAACAATTTTCAAAATTTCAGGAAACACATTAAACATAATTTAATATAGTTTCTTTCATTTTCTTACAGAACAGTTACTCTTATAAAAAAAGTAATTAAATTTAAAAAAGGCTTCCTGGTCTACGGATTTGGTTTTATATTTTATTTTAATTTGAGTGAAAAATGCAACGCTAATCAGAGTCTTACTTAGCGTTCAGTTCTGAACATTGAAAATGATAATATTTAATGAAATAATATTCAATTAAGATTAGATTTTTATTTTATTTTTTTATACGAGTAATTATTATACGACATAATAATATCCAACAAATACGATAATTGATAGGATGATCCATGTTATTGGAGGTAGTGTGTAGGGCACTTTGGTACTTGGGCAGTTGATCCTCATCAACTCCATCATTCAACTGTTATCGATTCTTCTCACACACATGTCATTACTTCGTCCCTCGCCTATTAAGACGGATTAATAACTAGTAGAAATATATCGAAAAATTCAAAATTAAAATAATACGGAAATCTATTGATTTGAGGAATATCAAAAATATTAGTAAACCAACATCGCTACCAAAAATGTTATCAAATATTAAAGAACGTTGATTTAATTGGAATATACATAACACACTTAAACGATTAGAACTTAAACCATGCTTTACGCTCCTTGCTCATTTACTTGAATTCTCTCTGAATCTAAAAACAAAAAAATAAATTTAGCACTCCTTACTGAAGGTGTTTAGGATCCTGCAAAAGCTAAAAACATTCATGAAATTAAAACTATACCTTTAGAAATACAAATTTATTATGATATACATATATAATTCGTTTTAAAGAGCATGAACTTAAACATCTCTGTCTGCTATCTTCATAACTCATTTTTTAAAACTTTGTTTCTAGAAACATGAGAAGACCAAAAAAAAAAGTAGTAATTATAATATTCTCCAAACATACTTCAAGGTATTTGTGGCTTCAATTAAATGAAATTTTAAAAATCGTAAATCTACCAGTTATAAAGTGCGCGGTCTGATTTGAATTTTTATGGAAGAAGGATCTCCAGCTTCTGAAATCCATCGAGAGTTATCTAGTATATGGACCTGACATAATATGTGACTAACTATTTTTAAAAAAAGTGTCGATAATTTCAAAATGCCCCCACAAATGCCATCGCACGATATCGTCGGTCCGAATATTGAGCTTGCCAATATCCTGATTATTGTGCACATTCTCGACATCATTTTCGAACTTGTTGGTCACTTATTATTTCATGTCCATACATTTGGCAAAACTCAAGATGGATTTCAGCAGCTGAAGATCCCTTTTTCATAAAAAAGTCTAGTCAAACCACGCACTTCTCCGATCTACGATTTTCTCGACCATTGTGATCTGTCAAATGAAACATGAATAAAACCAACTCTGCAATAGTTTTTCTAAAGAGTCGGAGGAACTTTTTTTAGGCCAACTGTTAGTTAAATATTGTTCTCCGGAACTTAGTTTTGGAATAAGCCTCACATGTATTTATATTTGTTTTTAATATATTACACATGACACCGAATAATAAATAAGTAACTGCTTTGAACCTCCGTTAGATGAATTAATATTAATAAAGTATGTGTTTAAGCATTTATTCACTAAGGAGCGTATTTTTTAATATGAAGGTACAAAGAAAACAGAAGTTTGAAATCAGATAAAAGCTGTTGGACGAACTAAAAACTATTATAAATATTCTCTGAAAGTAGAAAACTTTCCGTATAACTTTTAATGCTTAGGCGTTTTGTTTTGTTTTTTCCTTGGAAATAAAATTAATGGTTTAGCGAAGTTTTCAAGTTGTCGCTTGCCTATTTCCTCCTTTCTTGTTTTTTAATTAAAATTTTTATCTTAATATTTTAATTAATAAAGATATTTACAAAGACGCCAAGCTTTACCTACAAAGACGTTAAACATTTAAAACGCGTATATTTTTTTAAAAATAATTGATGATCACTTGTCAGGATCCGAGTACAACTTTATTTCTATTGTCCAAATCAGAGATAATTAAGTACTCCGAATCCGGTTAATGGAACCAATAGAATACGGCAGACACCTGTAAAAGAATTTCCTAGAGTAAAATCCAATGTTTTGGTTTCATGAATTTTACATTCATTTAATGGCATTAGTAAAATATATGTAAAACTTGGATTTAGTATGATATCAGAGATGTTGTTGCCTATATTATGTTTATCTTCAAAATAATTTCGAACATGTACTGAATATTTATAATTAATAGTAATATATATTTCAGTTTTTTATGTTGGACCTTTGAATACTATAGTTATTACTGATTGGGTATTAGGTCACATGGATACATTTAATTAACTAAATCCATTTTATCTTTTTTTTTTGGCATTTCATCTCCTTCTATCATTATAAATAATAAAATCATCTTCCATATTGATCAATTGAGCATCGATACTCCAAGACATATAGCACGCCGAAAGCTACTTCCCAACAAATATATCAGTACTCGGTGGCTGTCATTGTGCTACCAGCTTGGAATATTGATGCTGAATTGAATAATACTAAAATGGATCCCATTATATATATATAATCAATAAATAAAGGTTATTTAATTGAAATTAGTAACTCAATTCAACTTTCCAGTTGGCTTGTATGGCTATTATGGAATGTTAGATGAATTTCAGATTTTAAGAATTACGTATAAGGGAAGACTTTCATAATTAAGTGGTTCACCAAAAATTGACTAAAACGTTTATTAAAAATAAACGTTTAATATTCTCGTAAATGAGTTTTTGTAATAATTTTTTTATTGAGATTCTTAGCAATCTTGATTTATTAAGAAATTAGGATCAGCTCCTTTGTTAGTTTGATGTTCAGAATTTATGATGTTTAAATATCAAACAACTTTAACTGAGAGTAAAAAAAAAAATATTAATAATGAAGAACTTGTAATCGCATAAAAAAATTTAAATATTAAAATAATTAAACGATTGTACTAATAAGATAACGTAATTCAGGTAAATTATGAAATAAAATTAATTATTATAAAAATTTGAAAAATCAAATCATAAAAATAAATATCGATAAAAAATAGAATAAAAAGTGAAAGCATGTTCAAGATTGATTAGACTTTTTTCTTTTTAAGATAGCTTCTTTGGATAAAAAGTAGATAACGTTAGTTTCTTATTTCAGTAGCCACCCGCTAGCCTGAACAGCTGGTACTTAAGAGGTATTCTATATTTCCAAACTTTCTTGTTTATAAGGATACATTTCTAACATATTGTCAATATACTCAAATATTTTTCGATATCAGGATGGAATTTTATTCGTTATGATGTAGATATGTGTATCGATTTATCATGTCCATTATGGTTGTTAGGACTAGGAGTTGCTTCACTATGTATTGTTTTTATTTTGCTAGCTGAGTTTTCTTCTTGATAACTAGTTTTCAATTCCAAGTTAGTCCCTTATATATATATATATATATATATATGAAAAATCAACGATCAGTTCTGGTATAATCGGACTTTCAATTAAGGATACTGTGGAATCAAATGTATTTAAAGATGAAAAATAATTATTACAGAAGTTTAAAAAAATATATATGCACTTTATCTGCATCATTTTAATTATATAATAGGATTTTATTATGTATTAGTAATAAGTATTTTATTTCTTGTGTTGCAGCTGCTGCACATGGTGGTGACGGGTGAGTTGCCGTGCAGCAAGGAGGAAGCCGCGGCACTCGCTGGGATCCAACTTAGGATTGAGGAGACCTGGGGTCGCCCACATGGTCCTATATCTCCAGACGACAACACTCTCAAGCCTATCTCCGAGGACAAGGTGAGTCCTTTTACATCCTTGGTCCTTTTGTTGAGATTACTAGCGGATCTAATGATAAAATGAGGTCATCCGTACCGATATGAAGACCATTTGTAGGGTCAGCTGGTAGGATATCAATTGGTAAATACAGACAACTTTAGGTATTGACAATAACTTGTTTTTATACCAAAAAATCATAATTGCAACGTCTTGAATGTTATAGGAAATGGGAAAAGAGGTTTTTGAAGTGAACACCTCTTTAGGCGCGTTTTGCACGTTTTACATGGAGAGTGAATTATATTGATTCGTATCTCAGATGTGTTACACTGGAGTAAATTCGGCTAGAGTCGAATAATCGACTAAGTGTTTTTTCATATGGATTAAAATATCTCAAAAACTAAAAATCGGACCTGCATATTATTAGCAAGAGAAATGTTCGTCAGTTCATCCTCTTTGTAATGAGCTATTATTCAAAGTTCTATCTTAACGCGACGCCGTGTAAGAGAGGTGAAATGAGAAAAAATAGTGCTACAAACCAAATTATAACGAGTTTTATTCAATTCATGGATTATTTATTTATTTATTTGTTTGACTGTTTCAACCACTGGGATCATTTACACTGAGGTCTTTTGAAGTCTTTTTAAATTTTATTATAAATGCAGATAGTTTTTAAGAATTTAATAAGTCGTGAAGTCGTGTCTGGGTCCTGTCTCAATATTTGTTTTGGGTCTGTGAAGAATCTGTAAAGTCGTGAGCCATATACTCCGTAAGTATGCGATGCACTGTCAGAATATACCCGCAGTAGGAACATGTTCCTTCTTCATCAGATATCCATGGGTAAGTCATATATGGATTAAAATATCCCAGAAACTAAAAATCAGACCTGCATACTGTAAACGTGGGAATTGTCAAGCATTTCGTCCTCTTTGTAGTGGAATATTATTTGAAATTTTATCTTAACACGACGCAGTTTTAGAGAGACGAAAAGGGAAAAAATAGTGTTGAAAACCAAATGATGATATGTTTTATGGATAGAAGATATGGATTAAAATATATCAGAAACTAAAAATCAGACCTTCATACTGTAAGCGAGATAATTGTTCAGCATTTCATCCTCTTTATAATGAGCTGTTATTTATAATTTATATTTCATATTATTCAGATCCCAATTTTATTTGTTTATTTAGACATACAATATTCTGTCACAGGGACAATAATTATATTGATAAATGAGCACATTCACATCGTATATACAAAAAAAACAAAAAATAACAAAGTAAAACAATAACTAAATAATAATAAATAAAAACTATATACAATAAAAAAACCTTTATAAGTAATTTAATTATAAGTAAATTAAAAACATGAAAATACAATCATACCTATAAATTAATCTCGCATTTTTGATGTTTTTACTTCTACAAGTCTGAAGCACGCACCTCAGTTTTTTTTTTATCTTAAGACAACTAAAACTTCTTAGGGTAACAATTCCAAGAATATGTCATTAGAATAATAAATCATAGCGAAAGTACTAAAAACGATGCTATAAAATACCGATAGTTGGTGATGATTAGTATTTAATAATAGTGATGATTAGGACGTGATGGCCGAATTCGTTTAAAGTTCGAGACCACTGAGGTCTGTCAAAATTCTTATTTATTTTTGTGCCTATGAGATTATACGGATGTTTATAGTAGCATGATATTTCGACTTACAGGATAACAATGCTCTATTACAATAAAACAGTATGAGGTTTTCAAGCGTTTGTTTCTTTAATATCAATCGTGGCTGATCCTCTTCTCCGAGCTCCAAATATTGAAATGGGCTGAACCAACTCAAATCTTCCTCTCCTTTTTGTCCTTCTTCAACCAAGGAAAGTTTTCCTCACTCATTCATGGAAGAAGTTCCTTCCCAGCAAGTATGTAAATTCTCGTTGTTCTCATCGACGCAGCTCTTAATCCGTCGAATGCAGTGCAGGTCAGTCAATACGTATTCGTATTTCTATTTGGCCTCAAAAATTGAATCTTGAAGTAAAGACTAAATTGCTCCTCTAGTTTTCATACGGTACTTGTGAGCGACGCGGCCTCTATGGACTGCTATCTGCAGTTATATTGTTATTTAAAGTGTTTTTGTTGTTATTTATATTTCGTATTATTAAATGTTTATAACCTGAACACTGATAATTGTTATAAGGCACTGATAATCCTTATCTTCATATGAAATTAGACTCTTGTATAATAAGAAATATAAATATATTTGGTGTTGCCTCGTTTTTGCCTGTTTCTTATAAATATAATAATAATATTGTAATTTAATTATAAGAAATATAAATAAAAACAACACATTAAATAACAAGATGACTGCAAATAGCAGTCTATAGAGGCCATACCTTCACAAGTACCTTTCTACTATTATAAGTAGTGTGGAGATGGGGAAATATTAATACGTAGTACTACGTTAATACATATTAAAGTTGATCCAAGCCGGGAAATCATCAGGTGTCAAAACAAATGCTGAAAAAAAATAATATTTAATTAGCAGTAGGAATGGTAATGATTATAAGAATTTAAATATGAAATATCAGATTATGTGAAGACATTATTTTTCTTTATTTATTTTTTCGGTTGCCGAAAACATGGCGGATCCGCTCACTATTATAAATATATCATCTTTTTTGGATCCACTTGCTTATCAATTCCTAAACAAGTTAACAGATAACAGAAGAAAACTAGTATATATCAGTAATCATCGGTAAAACATCTAAAGTCCATAATCTTACACATAATAACGCGGAGGATGAGCAAGAAGATAACAAAAATGAATTGATCTATTCCTAACTATATATATATGTGTGTGTGTTTAGGAATAGATAAATTAATTTCTGTTATTTTCTCCTTGATCCTTCAAGTTATTTTATCTTATTACAATTATGGACTTTAGATATTTTACTGGCTGATTGCTGATATTTGCTTGTTTTATTTTTATCTGTTAATTCTGAAAATATTTCTGTAGTAAGAACAGGAATACCCTAATGCTAAAAAGATGATTTAGATAACAGTACTACAGATCCAACTGCCTCACTCTGTTTATTATTTTTAAAATGAACTATGTTAATTCATTTGTATTAAAGTATCTATTATTTCTAATAAAGTCCACTTTGACATGCATAAATTGATGAGCTGTGACCTCACGCCTGGATGTAATTTGAGTGAGTTGTGTAGCGCCGTGGTGTCGGGACACGAGCCTCGACAAATATCAACATGGGCTACACAGCGCTATTGCGTTAGCAACAGGCCACCACTGGACTTAATCTAGTCTTGTGTCATCTCTTGATATCTGTTCAATAGCCACTGTACCATGGAGGGTACACCGGTCTCATTATACTTAGTGATTAATTTAAATTCTGTTTAGATTAACCCAGTAGGTAACATCACTAGTTTAAAGGGAACATGTCCGTTAAATTCATAAACATATAATTAAATATACAATTTTTTAACAATATATAAATTTAAAAAAGTTCCTAATACGAAAGGATTTCTTAAAAGTTTATACGTGGTGTACCAGCTATCAAGTGTCCGAGGGGTAGACCATAGCGAAGATGGATTGCATTAATACTGATCTTGCGGAGTTGGGTTTAAACCGACGCCCGGTAAATGAATAAATATTGACATCGATTGGAGGTATCGGCATCGAACCTTCGGGTTCGCAAAGCCTTATTATTATTTCTTTTTATATAAATTAAAAAATATATAATTTAAAAAAATACTAAAAATTATTCTATATTTTCAAAGTAGTTGTACTTGCGTATCTACCTAAACACAATGGTTGATATTTATTTATTTATTGAAATTAATATGTAATATTGTTGTATTTGTCGGGTGCATTTTGCACTCTTGAAGGAAGCTCAAGACTAGATGTCATGCACCGATGCATGGGAAAAAATTAACTTATCAGAAACGGTACATGTGTAGTTAATGTATGGAGTTATTCATTAAATAACTAAACCAAATATATTTTATTACATTTTTCAGCTTACTATTACTAGGAATGTATTTCCAGTTGAGAAAGTCCATACATTTTTTTTCTCCCGACCTGGCCTTTTTGTGTTTTTTTTGCGGTCCAGGGGATAGCTCGGAGGATTAATGCTTGAGTTAAAAGCCTCTGGCTCCTGAACTCGAAATTGTAATCTTCAGTTTCTAAGATTGTCGGGCAACTCGTGTTTTGAACACGCGTTAGCCCGCTAAATACCTTTTTTCTTTTGTTCTTCCCTTCCTCGCCTTTTAGGCTATACGAGAATTTTTCTAGGCCGAAGAGTCATGGTAGGGAATTATTATTTTATAGCAAACTCTTATTATTATTATTTTTTTTTATTTCTTTATGACATTTACAACTGTATTACATAAATACATCAAGTAAATTTGGACATAATTGATATAATGACATGAATACACTTGCTGAGTAACTACCCAATGGTAGCACTCTAATTTATTATTTTTAATAAGAAAAAATAATAAAAACCGTAATTATTTTTTATCATCCTAACTTAACGCTGGCAGGTTAACTGGCGCACGCGTTAGCACGCTCGGCCTTCCCACCACTAATCCACTAAATAAGTTTTTCTTTTTTCCGGTCTCCCCTTTCTTGCTTTTTAGGCTACATGGGGTTTTTCCTGGTCGGAGGAAAGGCTGGTAAATTATGGTGAGTTAAACTCTCACTGGGCACCGGGGATGCAGAACGAACTAAATGAAACGTTCCTCGAATTTAGATCTTGCTTAAAAAAAACTATTTAGGAATTTTAAGCTGAAAATAAAATAAACTCCGAAACTCGAATGAATAAGTAGCTTGTCCAGAATAGCAGTGATTATAAGCATTTGCAAACAATGGATAAGAAGTGATAAAAAAAGAAGGCACGAGGTTATAATATTGTTATGTTTCCAAAAAGATCTTTCGATGGAATCCGAGAATCATTTGAATCCATAAAAAATGGGCAGAGAAGCAATAAGCAGAGAATAAATATGAAGTTCTGATTAGACTGAAGATATAACAATACGACTTCTGAAAATGAACTGACTTTATTTCGTACTGGTATACAAATAGGTTTTCGGTACCGTATTACACTCTTGTAATATTTTTACTTTCACTTACCTATATATGAAATATATAGTAGGGGTAAGTATTTCGATCGTGAAAATTTTCTAATCTGAGTTTAATATTTTTACTTTCACTTACCTATATATGAAATATATAGTAGGGGTAAGTATTTCGATCGTGAAAATTTTCTAATCTGAGTTTTCAACAGAAGTACACGTTTTATGGTACCCTGAGTCAAAATAACCAAGTCCCGAAAAATGATCTGTGTGTCTGTGTGTGTATGTTAGCCGTCTAGCCCACAAACGAAAAGTCGTACAAAACTGATTTTGTGTATTTAAGATAACTATATGCATTAGATGTTACTGCAACTTTTTCCTTAAAATTGGCTGACCGGAAGTGCCACTTTATAATCAACGGTGAAACACATTTTTACAGTTTTCTCAAAAACGGCTCTAACGATTTAGATTAAACTCGGTGTATCATTGTATAATTAAGTGATATTTAATATCTTTTAGGTCTTACCCCATTGATGTCACTTTACAGGGCTTAAATGTATATGTCACTATAAACAGAGAGTGACAGCAAATATATAAATATAAATTTCTGGATACTAAAATTATTTGACATAAATCACGTTTTCAATGAAATTAAATGAAAATTTCTTACTAAATGTAAACTTTTAAATTTTTTTTCCAAGTTTGATAAAAGTATTTAAAATCTACTGAGTTATGCCAATTTTTATGTTTATGGCATTGTTTTAAATTGTTTACTACATTAAATTAAATACTATTTAATTGTACTTGTGTGAAAGAAGAAGAATATAAAAAAATATAAATATGATATAAAATATAAAAATATTTCATGGATATATTTATAACCTTAAATACTTTTTCTGAAGTTTTATAACTCTAGATATGATGTTATATTTAAATAATTAGATATCTACTGGCAGTTTATTTCAAAACATCATCAAGTAATCTTTTAGAAAATTTAAATCAGTGAAAAATTTGATGAAATTGAAGTATCCACTTACAATTAGTGTGACAACTTTTGACCTGTCTATGACAGACAATGCAAATCTGTTTATTCCGTTTTAGTAAACTTTGCAATGGAAAATAACAGTTCTATATCTAATAATCATACAATCCATTATCAACGGATCGTTCAATACATAATCTGTAGTTTAATAACTCTAGATATGATATTATATTTAAATAATTAGGTATCTATTGGCCGTTTATTCCAAAAAATCATCAGGTAACCTTTTAGAAATTTAAATTAGTGAATAATTTGATGAAAGTTCCCTTTGTAAAATACCAACATTATCCACTTACAATTAGTGTGATAACTTTTGACCTATCTATGGCAGGCAATGAAATCTCGTAATTTCATTTTACTAAACTTTACAACGGAAATTAACGGTTTAATAACTAATAGTCCTACAATCCATTATCATTTATGGGTTAAATATTCAGAAGTACTTTCAAATTTTTCTAGCCATATATAAGCCGTTCGGTTGACAGAATGACTAACTCCAATTTTAACATTCTTTATTATTAATTTTAGTAATGCTTCTGGTGGCAAAATTCATACCTTTAATCACAGTTCTATATTTCAACATTGCAATAACTTACTCTGGTATCAACTTGCTTGTCTGTTTAGATATAACTTTTCCAACTAGAAATATCACTGAAATGACATTACCCAAAAATGTTGAAATTGGAGTGAATCATTCTATCAAATAAAGGGCTCAGAGACTTAAGTTATGTGGTTCATAAAACTAGATTTTTATTGCCTACCGTCGATATAATAAATGAACTTTTGTAATTTTAATCTTATCACTTCAAAAATTTTATAATACCCCAACACTGCCAGAAAATAATTTCTATTCAAAGTAGAGGGGTAAGTGAAAGTTGTGTGTGTTATCTATAGCATTATCTTTATTAACAAGTATTTGATAAAAAATTAGTTAGCTTATATATATGTGAGGTATATGAAAAAACAGTGATAGATATATATATATATATATATATATATATATATATATATGTAATATATATATATATATATATATTATTATATATATATAAAAATATATATATATATATATTTCTATCACTGTTTTTTCATATACCTCACATATATATAAGCTAACTAATTTTTTATCAAATACTTGTTAATAAAGATAATGCTATAGATAACACACACAACTTTCACTTACCCCTCTACTTTGAATAGAAATTATTTTCTGGCAGTGTTGGGGTATTATAAAATTTTTGAAGTGATAAGATTAAAATTACAAAAGTTCATTTATTATATCGACGGTAGGCAATAAAAATCTAGTTTTATGAACCACATAACTTAAGTCTCTGAGCCCTTTATTTGATAGAATGATTCACTCCAATTTCAACATTTTTGGGTAATGTCATTTCAGTGATATTTCTAGTTGGAAAAGTTATATCTAAACAGACAAGCAAGTTGATACCAGAGTAAGTTATTGCAATGTTGAAATATAGAACTGTGATTAAAGGTATGAATTTTGCCACCAGAAGCATTACTAAAATTAATAATATATATATATATATATATATATATATATATATATATATATATATATATATATATATATATATATATAGTTATGGATTAATAAAGATGTAAATTTTCTGAAGCCATCCATACCCACTGCCCTGAAGCTGTCTATGCCCACCCTTCGATGTTGGCAATGTTTAATCCGATGTGAGGGAATATAAATTTATGGAAATAACGCTGGTCGATTCTCAGTCCTCACGGATACAAAAGTTTTAGTTTGTATATTCTTCGATTTGTCGATGGTATAAGAGTGAAACCATTGTGTTTAATCCTGCAGTAAATTGTGTCATATTTATTTTCAATTAGTCATTTACCGTTTTACTTACATGGTAATCATATGCATGTGTTATTGTCAGTTACTCGTACAATCGTTTATCGCCCGTTCAACTTACAGATGTGTCAGTCTGGCTTCTAGTGCAGTCATCAACTGTCAAACAAAATAATGACTAATGATTATTTAATAAATGACGGATTATTAATCAAAAACAGAGGGGTTGCTTAAATGAAGACGTGTAGACGACTGTGATGACATTTTTAGGGATGTGTAGCTGGAATTAAAGCTGGAAGATCTCATATAAACTTTATCAAATACCATTAACTTGTTTTCGTTATAAAGGTGCAAACATATTTCTCTTGATAAGCGTATGTAAAAAAAAAAATATAATTTATTGAATTACTAAATTTATATACATTTTTTTTCCTGTTGGCATAACAGGTCTTGTTAGATCTATTGCCGCCTAAACAAATTTGCTCCATTTCTAGTATAAATATTTAATTTAATATGTTTTATATTAATCTTTGTCTTGAAATATAGATTCTCAAATATGTATATTGGCATAGTCGGGAAACTGTACTGACGATACCAGTTGTAGAATTTAAATCTATTTAATTTATATCTAAAATTAGATTACGAAATTAAAAAAAATACCTTACAAAGTCTTTTGGTCCTTTATCAACAATCCCAAGATAGATGATAATAATCATACAAGCTATTAGGTTTAAATAAAACATTGTGGATCACAAATCAATTTTTAAAATCTAAATATAATTTTCCGAATGTTGATTCAAAAAAAGTTTCTTGAAGTCGTAAAAGCCTTAGATCATCGAAGCTTAAGGTTTGCTTTAAAAAAAAAAAAAAAAAAACTCTATGTTCACTATGAACATTAAGTAAATAAAATAAACAATGATTCATATACAAAAAATAGAAATACTAGACTGAAATTAAATAAAAATGTTACGTTTTTTAATAATACGCGAAAACAAAAATTGATATACAAAAGAGATCCTATTATATGAAGTCAAATTTTTCTTAAGTAATTGAAATCATTAAACAGTTGTTTTTATTAAACTATGCCTACTATTCTAAGTGGGTACCTACGTTTTTATTCTTAATATCACTTCCAAACATCCTTTAAATTTCCAGAATTAAATATAAAATAGTCTTGAACCTACAGTATTCTGTCATCAGCCTTTAACAATATTCCACTGATCCCTGTCGTACAGGTCCGTTGAGACGGCTGTCAAGGAGCATTAGCTTCTTGACAAACGTCTTACTTGGAATCCTCATTCTTGACTTTAAAATAAACATATTCCGATTACTAAACCACTTACTTGACAAAAGGCTCTTAACTTCCAATATTCACTACCATCAGGTGCATTTGGACTTATGGAATCGAGCTTTGGGGCTCTATAAAAACATCGAATTCTTCCCGTATCCTTGGACATTACAATCCTAAATCCTCCGTAAAATCCTAAGTGTTGTTTGTTACGTCACAAATAAAATTATCCATAAAGGCCTCAAGATCCACCTTGTTGAAGCCTCGGCCCAATTGAGATATTCCTCTTTTGATTCCAAACTTTTTGGTCCTAACCTTTTTTGGTCTAATTCATAACCTTTCAGTCGATACAATTCCTGACAATACTCCGACGCGTCTGAAAAAAAGATTGCCAAGAGACCTCTTAGGGTGGCCAACCTCCTAAATTAAACTAATCTTTGAAGTGTTACCAATGGGTAGATTCTTCACAACTACTATAAATGCTAATGTTTTTTTAACAGCTTCTTTGCTATTTTTTAAATTTGCTGGTAGGTTTGGTGCGTGCCATGTCC